AGGCAATGAGGTCCCGATGTCCCACCCTACTGACCTGAAAGGTTGGGAATGCATTGTAGGAGGGATGTTTAACTTGCTGTGCACGATGAAATTATTTTCAAGGGTTCTAACATGATCACACTACTTACCAATGTGCTTATTTGCTGTTCTATCTTTTAAAGGGGTCCCTATCTCGTTAGTCTCTATGGATCTATCTAGTCTACCAGACTAGACAGGCCCACAGCCTCCTTCCCCCTCAGTCAGGAGGATGGAGTCCCTCCAAGGAGGCTGGAGGGCTCTGAAGTTGCTTGCTGACAGTGCTCTCTGCTTTCTCCGTTTGCACCAATGTGCACCCTTTGTTCAAACAAGTCCTTGATACTGTCCACCATATGGGTCATCTTCATCTGAAAGTCCTACCAGCTCCAAATGCCCTGCATTCCCCCTTCCCCCATTCAAGGAAGCTTCATTTCAAGTCCTTTCTTTTCTCAGAATCCTCTCCTGAACACCCCAGTGCTCCCTTCCTGCTTTCAGAGCCCCAAAAGCCCAGACCAGTAAGACCTCGGCATTTATAGTGTAGACGGCAGGCTGGTCTTCTGGCTGTGCCTGAGACAGAAGAGGAAAGGGCACTTTGGACCTGAAGCTGTTTTTCTCTGGGTCACCTAGTTAGTGCCCCAGGCTCACTGGCAACTGGGGGTAGGGCTCTAGGGCTCCTGCCCAAGCTGAATTGATGAAGGTGGGCCTGACCCCTGCTGAGCCTCATACAGAAAATCACATGGCAGGCACTTCATAGACACTAGCTCTCAATATATAGTGTGAATTATAATAGCTGTGTCAAGTCCCAGCTCTGCCAATCTCTGCCTGTGCGACTTTGAGCAAAGTCCTTATTTGTTCATCAGTTTCCTCACCTGACTTGTAAAATGAAGACCATGGTTAATCCATTTACTCAATAAATGATTATTGAACAACCTATTCTGTACCGGGCCCAACTAAATCCGCCATTTAGTGTTAGTTAAAATGTGTGATCCGGAGCTTGACATTTGCTAAGTTGTCAATAAGTGCCAGTTTTCTTACACAAGTCTCAGCAGAACAGTCAGTAGGAGCTGAGCGTGGTGGCGCATGCCTATAATCCCAGCTGCTCAAAGCCAGCCTCAGCAAAAAGCGAGGTGCTGAGCAACTCGTTGAGTCCCTGTCTAAATAAAATGAAAAATACGGCTGGGATGTGGCTCCATGGTTGAGTGCCCCTGAGTTCAATCCCTGGTATACACAAACACACACACACACACACACACACACAAAGAATGGTCAGGAGGTTGGAGTAGGTTGGGTAGGAGGGGTTGGGGCAGGAGAAGGGGAACTCAGAAGGGAGGATTGCAGGGCTGGGCCTAACTACCTCTTATTTTCCCAGCATGCCCTTCTTTTCCTTCTTGTTAACATACTCATGCTTTGTCTCTAACAGGGGCTGATTCTGGAGTCTCTGAATAATATGCCTTCCTTTCTGTCCCTTGGTTTCACCAGACCATGTCTGTAGGCTGCATTGTCTGTCCCTTGTCTATAAAGTGGATACAGGGATGCCTCGTCATTCTTAGACACTTGGGACACCGCAGTGTGCCCACCCTATAGAAGTGGCTAGGATCCTCTATCCCTGTAGAACATGCCCCAGAGTGGCCACCTCACCAACCTGGTCCCCTGCCTCATGCTCCTGGCCCCCTTTTTCCTGGCATCACAGGTTGGACCCAGTGTCATTTCTGGCTTTTCCATGCTGAAACCCCAAACCCTTCAGTTTTGACTTTGCCTAGTCCCTGCTCACAAACCTTCACAGGGGAGGGGGATGGGTGTATGTGTGTGCTTAAGTGATACAAGACCTGGCACATAGGTGATCCTCAATAAAGGTTGATCAAATTAATGCACAATGGATATTTCCTCTGCAAATGGGGTTCATTCATTCATTCAACAAACATTTATTGAACCCAAGACCCATTCAGTGCCAGGCTCTGAGTCAGGGGTTGTGATATTCAGGCTGATGATAGCCAAGTTCTCCAAACTCTGCTCATAGACTTTTCCCTCTCAACTCACTCCCCAAGGTCCCCCTGGCTCTCAGGCCACTCAGCCCTCATCCTTTACCCCCAGAGACCAAAGCACTGGTTCCATCATGCATTTGAACTGCAGCAGAAGTTTGAATGCTAAGTCACTGAGTTTGGGGTTGAATCCTGATCCATAACTCATCCCGTGTGATCGTTAGCAAAGTGATTTAACTTTTCAGAACCTCAGGGTCCTCATTAAAAAATAGGCATAAGTAAAATGGCTTATCTCATAATTTACTATGAGGAATAAATGAGATAAGGCATATGCTTAGGACATTCCTCAGTCCTAGTGCATGATCAATGACTCAGAGCTATTATGACAACTCCTTTGTGTCACCAGTGCCTGGCTCCCTCCCACCTCTTCCACAGAACCATGTAGCACAAGACTGTGAACACGGTAGGTGGTTAGTGGACTCAGACCTCCTGGAAGCAGACCCGGTGGGCCATTCTGGAGAGGAAACCCAGGCACCAGGGAAGGTTCAGAGGCGGGGAAGAGCAGGAAGCAATGCATATGGCTGGAGCTGGAAGGTCTGGAGGAGGGTCCAGGGATGGCTGGACAGGGAGCTCACTCCCTGGACAGCCATTCTGTGGCTCAACAGCTTATTATGATAGTTATAATTTTTTCCAGTGGACACATTCTCTATTTCAAGTTATGAGAAGCAGTAGGGATCCCACCTGAGCGGGCCACTGGGTATGGCAGCCAAATACTTTCTGGGCTTTCAGCAAAGTGAACTTGTATCCATTTCAAAATCCACTCCACACTTTCAGGACACACTTGCTCCATTTGGGTACAAGTGACAGACACTAGCCAAAACCACATACAGTCTTAATAGAGCCAGGGCGGGGGGGCGGGAATCTCCTGGGGGGGGCGGGGGGGGGGAGAACATATCCTTACTCAGGGCTCTCTCAGAGACCCCTGGCTCCAACCCTCAGTTTTTTACTTTGTGAGATGGAAACTATTCTATTGGATTTTTTCCCCTGACTGTTGGAAAGATCAGCACCACCTGCCTGGGGCTTCCTGGGGCTGATAGAGGGACTCTGCCTGCTGGCTCACAGACCTAGATTGACTCACCCCGTCTTTGGATTTCCACTCTGGAGGCTGCATCCGGGTGGCTCTGTAGGGCTCTGACCTCACCATGGCCCAAGGAGCGAACCCACACTACAGAACACTCTAGATGTGCCGATAGCCTTCCAATTCTATCCCCTCATCACTCCAGACTGGCCTGCACAATCTCGCTGGTTCTCCGTGGCCTGGGCTGGTAGCACCCCTCCAGGCAGGGGCAGGGGTGCTGCTGAGCCTGCTAGTCAGACCCTCCTTAGCCCTCACATGGGGTCCCCTCTGGAAAGGCCCTGGAGTGCTCTCTAACCACCTTAATTGAAATATGCAGCAGGGAGGCTTCCAGGAGCCAGGTCCTTGCTGTGCCTTTGACCCCACCTCTCTGCTCTTGGTGAGGAGTAGTAAATCAGGTGGTGGCCATCTCCTGACTGACAGCTGCTTTGAGGGACAAAGCAATGTGGTGCTTGTGACTGAGCGATGGCCTCTGGTTGGAAGGGAGCAGCTTCTTTTCTCCACCCACTCATGACTCCTCTGCCCAGGATATCACTGAAATGTGGGATGGGGGGTCACACTGACCTCACTCCATCCAGTGCCTATAGTTTATCAAGTGTTTTCACATTTACCATCTTGCTGGAGCCCCATAGCAGCCACTGAGGTAGATGAAGACTATCAGACCCACTTGACAGATGAGGTAGAAAGGCTCAGAGAGGCAAATGAACTTGCCCAAGGTTACACAGCTGCTAGGTAGCAGAGTCATGAACAGTCTGGAAACCACTTGCTCACTGGGGTAGGATGGCATAGGTTCTATAACCTAAGGCCAGTTACTTAACTTCTCTGAACCTCAGTATGCTCAGTTGAAAAAATGGGAATAATAGCTATCTTGTTGGGTTATTGTGAAGATTAAATGAGATAATGCTATAAAATGTATTTGGCATAGTAGTAACACAGAGACCTGCTCAATAAATGTGAGCAGTGATAGTGATTATCATCCCAAGGATATTCAGATGCTGTCCCTGTTAGCAGGTCATGCCCTGAGTGAAGCCCTGATGCCTCTTGGCTTTTCCCTTGTCTCTGCTCAAGACTTGTTAATGTGGGCGTGGGAGTTGGGTGTGGAAAAGCAGGGGCCGAGGAGGACCATTGCACTCCCCTCCCAGCTGGCTGCCTGGCAAAGGTGGCTGAGGGCTAGTCTGTAGCCCCGGTTCACAGCCTTGTCATGACTGCTGCCTGTTACTCATACACAACTCAGTTCTGCCCAGGGACAAGCCAGAGGCTCTGCTCTGAGGCTCTAATCCTCAGATGAGCTGAAAATGGGAACTGAAAGGATCAGAATGATCCAGGCTCTCCACAAGCCCCTGCCCTGCCCAGCCCAGTCCAGTCCTGCAACTTCTGTGGAAGCTCAGCTTCCTAGCCCCTTGGGAGCAATTTTTCCCTTCCTCTATGTCCTGGGAAACCCTAAGATGCAAGGGGGTAGAGTGGGGTTGTATCAATCCAGGTAACTTTTCCTTTGAGAAGGAGAGGCCTTGGAGTAGAAAGATGGGGGTGCAAGTGATCCAGGGCCCAGCGGGAGCAATGCCACCCTTGGGCCCTGAGTCCTGCAGTCTCTCGGCCATCAGACACTGCTCTCTTAGAGCCTGCCTTCTGCAGATGGGTCTCCTCCAAGACATGGCCCAGCCAGCAGCCACCTAGTACCACTGTGCTTACCGCCTACCAGGATAGACCACCCCTATCTCACTCACATACTTTTAGATATCTCCTCAGGGGCCCTGCAATGAGAAGGGATGGGGGGTGGGCTCTGACCATGCTTCCTGGGACTGAGGTGGTAAGTGGGCATCTGTGTCTAAGATGAGCTCTGTAAAAGCTTTGGGGCCTGCGGGGCCGGATCCTTAGCATTTTTAAATTTTATTATGACTGTGTTTGTTTAAATATATATATATATTTATATATATTTATAGCTCTATGTGCCAACCCCCCCACCCCCTTCCCCAGCCCCTAGTTTTTCCCCCTGGCTTTCTGTCTGGTGGCCGTGTAGGGCAGCACTGTCTGCGTGCTCTTGTCTGACACTGTCTGGGTGCTGCTGTTCCTTGTGACCCTTCGGGTCTGTTCTGGGGCCAACGTGGGCCCTGAGTGACGGCCAGTCAGTGGAGAGCGCCTTGTCTTGTGGGGGGCTGGGGAGGGCTTGAGGGGGGTCACATGGGTCTCCGTATGGGGCAGCTCAGGGGGCAGGCCCACCTCCTCCTCCTCTGCCTCCTCCTCACCGTCCCCCTCCTCGTCATCGCAGCACAGAGCATGGTAAAGCACTTTGTCACTGAACCGTACCCTCTCTCGTGTCCCTGGAGTTCGTTGGGGCAGCTGGCCCTTAATAGGGCCAGCACTGAAAGCCTCCTCGCTGGAGGAGTCGGGGGTCTCCACTCGTGGCCCATTGGGGATGGGCATGCCTCCATTCATGAGCCGGTAGTCAGGGCCAGGCCCTGGCCGCGTTGACTCAGGGCCGTCCACAGAATCTGAGGGTGTGGAGACGTCCAGGAAGGAGCAGAACTCCCAGCTGTCCGAGAGGATATCAGCTGTCATGAAGTCCAGATGGCCCAGGTCAAAGGGGCCACCCACGCCCGCCTTGTCGCTACTAGAGGTGCTGCTCACAGTGGCCGTGGTCCAGTCGTCTGGCTCCAGTTCAAAGTCGAAGTCAGAGGTTAGCTTGTCAATCTGGCTCACCACCTAGCCAGGGAAGGGGAGAGGAGATGAGAGGCACCAGGTGGGGGCCTAGTACAACCTGGATATGAGTGTACCTCTGCCTTGCCCTGCTAGACTCCCTGGCTGGTAACCCTAAAGGAAAAGACTGGACTTGAAGTCATAGGTTTATGTGTCCTGTTGAGGTCCCAAAGGACCAGAATTGGACTGGGATGTACAGAATTTGTTCTGGCCTTTCCCAAAGGTCAGTTTACAAGTCTTCAGTCCCTTGGGTGGAAGGGGAGACTGCTTTCCAGCCCTGCAATCCATCCATTTACACTTTCCTGTCCCAAACAAAGCTGCTTCTGGGGAGCTGTTCGTTCAGGGCTTGATCCTCATTTGATTTGAGAGGGGGCCATTTAAGAGGGTTGAGAGAGTCCAGCAAGCCTATTCAGAGGCCCATCCATCCTCAGAGAGGAAATGATAGAGGGTGGCCATGAGAAGGACCCTGTTCAGGCTTCTTAAAGCATCCTGGACAGTTCCTGCTGCTGGTCACGGACTTTGCCTTGGCTACTACCCACCAGCCCTTCCAGATAAGAATAGAGGTGTGTGGCAGTGGCTGAGTTAGTTACTCCTGTGCCCCCAGAGCTTCCTCCCTCCTTGCCTTTCCTGTTCACCAATGAGCAGAGATCCATCCTGGCTTGTTGGGAAAAGGAATAAAGTGAGCATTATTTGGTAAGCAATAAAGAAACCATCCCTCTTGGGCCCAGAGCTGCTTGTTAAATGCACTCAGGAGGCAATTCGGTTGTGGAGGTCACTGCACATCCTGCCCTGCCCTGCAAAAAGTGAAGTCCTGAGCCTCCATGCAGGTGGCCCTGCCTTAGGACATCCCCTTGCCTGGGCCTCTGTCAGCACATCAATCAGGGTGAAAGACTGTGAGGGAAAGAGAAAGGTCCAGTCAGAGACCTAGGGAGATGACAGAGCACAAGAAAGGAGAGAGAAGATTCAGTCCAAAAACAAAATAGCTAAACAATAAAACAAAGCAGAGGGACCCAGAGTCAGAGATAAAGAGACACAGCAAGTCATCTGGACCAGAATCCAGCGCCCCATGCCAGTTGGTGCTCTTTACCTGGAGTCACAGCAGTCAATTAATTAATTAACTAGGCCCTTAATTCAACAAACACGTATTGAAGACTACTGCTGTCAAGAAATGTGCTAGATGCTTGCCAAGGGGTGGGGTGGTGAGTGGCTAAGGTGAAAGAGGCAGTGGGCAAAAATGCTGTCAAAAGTAGCTGGGACCTGTGGGAAGACTGCTCCATCAAAAATTGGAGGTCAGGGGCAGGTGACCTGGTTGGCCCTTTTCCTCCCTGGGTCTTTCTCAATTTGTAAAGAGAGAGAGGAGATGAACTAGTTTTATCTCCGAGATTCCTCTACCTTTGGGATTCTAGGAGACTTGTGTTTGTAGAGGTGAGTTTAAGTTGTTTTGGGTGTCACTGCCTAGGAAGGTCCACTCACCACAGCCCCAGACCAGGAGTGGCTGAGGCCTGCAGAAAAGCTGGAGGAGTCAGGACACCAGACTTAGCTTAGACATTGCTGTGTGTCTTTGAGCAAGTCACATAAACTCTCTGCACGTCAGCTTCATTCACCACCAAGTGGGTGTGAGATTCCCAGCCCTGCCAACCTCCGCAGAGTGTCAGGAGGAACAAGGAGAAGGGCAGTGGAAAGACTTCAAGGAGCTTTGGAAATAAATGACATCATCTCCCACCTCTGACCACCTACTATGTGCCAGGCTTTCCTACCTTTCCTATTCCTGAGTGTCACCTCCACCCATGAGATCATTATGCTCCCTGCTGCTGCTGCTGCTGGTTCAGGGACATATTTTGAAGACCACTAGTCTGGGTACTGGGGATTTACTTCAGGTGAAAACACAAGCTGGGCAGCTCTACCCATCCCCCAATCCCCAGGGCTCTTGAGAAGCTGCTGCAGCCTGAGGGGTGGGGGGTGGTGCTGCCAGGAGGGATCTGGAGTGCAATGACTTGGCTGTGACCTCTCAGACTTCACAGAGACTAAGAGGAAGCCCTGATGCTCAGTGAGGATGACACCAACCAGCCTCAGGCCTAGACACGCTCTTCCCATCCAGGGAGCTGAAGCTGGCCACCTGCTCAGAAGGCCTTCCCTTTGGCCCTTCCCTTCTTTAGTGTGCCCCTCTTGGGTTCCACTTTGGAGGTATGGAGGAAAAGCAGAGAGGCACCTGGGTTCAAGTCCTAAATCTGCCTCCTCTTGGCTGTGGGAACTTAAGCAGATATGATAATACACCTCCAAGCTTTGGTCTCAGGCCTATAAAAAGGGATGACACTCCTCTCCTTGCTTGGTTGATGAAGATTAAACAGATTAAAACTGCAGAGTTAGGACAGCCAAAAACTTAAGAACCTGTGCTCTGGCCAGGCGGCTGTAATCCCAGCAGCTTGCGAGGCTGAGGCTGGAGGATCGTAAGTTCAAAACCAGCCTCAGCAAAAGTGAGGTGCTAAGCAACTCAGTGAGACCCTGTGTCTAAATAAAATACAAAATAGGGCTGGGGGTGTGGCTCAGTGGTCAAGTGCCCTTGAGTTCAATCCCTGGTACCAAAAAATCCCCCAAAAAACAAAAAAACAAAAGAAAGAAAAAGAACTTGAACTCTGGAGCCTGACCTGTAATGCTGGCCAAGTTACTTAACTTCTCTGTGCCTCTGTTTCTTTGTCAAAGGAGAATTCTAGTAGTACCTACTTGATAGGGCTGCTGTGAGGACTTAATGACCTAATGCTCTTGGGAAAGCATGTAGAAAAATGTAGCCTACCAATATCTGCTATGCACCACTGGGCAGGAGTGCATGTCCAGGTCCCTGGCATCAGGCCCAAAAGCGAATGGGAATCAGTTCTTCACCAAAGGAATGACACTCTAATAGGGAAATTTCCAAGCCTGGGGAAGAACACTGGAATATAGTGGGCCTTTCACCACCTTGACATGGGTAGTACCAATTTTGCCTAAAGCAGGTCTCTCTCTAGGCTGAATAGAACCAGAAGGTCCTATTAGCCAAATGGCTGTGAGGTTTGCAGGCAAATCTGACCAGTCTATTAGGTGGGGCAGGTCACATCCACTTAATCAATGATATAAATTTGGGTCAGAAAGGAAAGCCATGTGCCCAAGGGTACCTGGTTTCTACGCAGGGACCTGAGTCAGTCCCTAAACCTTGCTGCCCTTCCCTGGTGCTTCATCTCATGGGCCTCAGGGAGGGCAGGCATGGGGCAGGCCTTGTGCTACCTGCCTCTCTGCTTCAGATGTCTTGAAATCTGTGGTTTCTCTCTGTGATTTAATAATAATTTTGCCTACATGTAATTTGGGTTTGTCTTGGAGTACAGGGAAATAATTATATACACAGAAGGAAAGAGAGGGGGAGAGAAAAAAGTGGAAGCATAAAAATCATAAAATCATAGAACCTCAAAGTCACAAGGCTGGAGAGGCACTGTTGAGTCCACCTGTCTCATTGTGCTTGCTGATGGGAAACTTAGGCCCAGAGACTAGAAGGAGTGGAGCTGAGAACAGAAGTCAACTCCTGACTTCAGGGCCTTGCACCTTAAGACCAAGAATGGCCTACTCAGGAGGGACCAAGAGCAAGCACTAGAGAGGAAGGACAGGGCTGAAGGGTGTGATAGAACTCACTGGGGACCCCAGGCATAGCCCAGGCCCCTGTCCCAGGGGTGTCTCCAACCTCTGTTCTGGTCACAGCTTTAGTTTCCCTCTCCTGAACAACTGTACCCACCTAATTTTCCCACTGACAGCCTTCTCCATGCTATTGCATCCAGAGAATTTTCTGGTCACCCAACAGGACCACGTCACCCCTCTGCTTGCAGCCTTTCCCTGCTCCCCAAACTCCTGAGCCTCCCAAACACAATCCCTAACGTTCCCTTTCCTCTCCAGCAAGCAGGCTCCACCTTCCCAGGCCTGCCCTCTCAGTACCCCTCCGCACTCCACTGATCTCACATCTGCCTCTGGGCCCTCCCTCCTCTCCGACTCCCTACGTCTATCCACACTTCCATGAGGAAGCCCTGCAGTTGAGGGCAATATTTGACACTGGTACAACTCTGTACATACATGGTATGATACAGTTGATATCTGTCTCCCCGTGAAAGGCAGTGCTGGATGGGTTTGTTTTGCCCACACAGCTACAGACTGGTGACTAAAGGCTTCATAAGAACTGCTGGGGGCTTCTTTGTTAAGGAAGAGTTCCACAGTCTTAGGCACCTCTGTATTGCTTGGTCCAGTCTTCCTTCCAGCTCTGGCTTGAACCCTCTCTTCAAGGAAGGCACCTCTGTGCTCCCTAAGGCCCTACAGCCTGGACTGAGGACCCAGGAATGCCAGACCCAGCAAACCCCACCCCCACCTCCCCTGATAAGCTGCTGTCTCCTTCCCTCTCTTCCAGCTCCCCGGGCAGCTGGTTACATAACTGGAGACTCTGCATTATTTATGACCACTGATTATTTTTTAATTCTGTGATTACGTTGTTTATTATCTTCCTGGGGGGCTGTGGAGTTGGGGAGAGACAGAGTGAGCTGACCGTGATTCATGGCTCTCATCCTGCAATTTGGCCTAATTGGCCAGGGAGCTTCAGTGAATCTGTCCGAGTAGGAGAAAGCAAAGGGAAAAGAGGCAGGCAAGAAAAAAAAAATAATAATAAAAAATCCGCGCAATTCGTGCTGAGCTGTGGGTGATGCAGCTGACCCACTTTGGCATGGCCCTGTGGTCCCCAGCCTCTCCTTCTCCAGCTGCTTCCTGACTGGGCCACATTTATTTATCTCAGGCTCGCAAGGCCCTTGGCTTTCCCTGCCACCTTCATACACAACTCCTTGCCAACGGGACTGCACAGTGGGGCAACCAGGAAACAGGCTGCCACTATGCCTGCTTCCTGTGAAAATCAGGTGGGAGAGCCCTCTACTGCCACCCCAGGCTGAGGAAAGACTATGCTCACCCCTTCACCCTCGGGCTAAGGTGGGCAACTGCGCCTTTAAGTTATGTCTGTCCCAAGAATTGCTGATGATGTGGGAGATACAGGTGGTCAGCACAAGGATCCCCTTTGATCCCCCAGGGAGGAAGAAGCCAAGTACCTGCTCAAGGGGTGCTCAATATCTGGCAGGCCAAGGACAGAAGGATCCTGAACCCTCCCCTTGGGAGGTTTGGGTTGGTGGGCAACAGGAAGCAGCAGGGAAGCAGGTTCCCTCCCAGAAACACAACAGGAAGTTCTTGAAGACAGTATGTGATTCTCACTGAGGACAAATCCAGATTCCAGACCATGCTCAGCAAGAGGCCTTGGAGTTCACCCCTCATACCCGGTGTAACCTTAGCTTCTGCTCTCTTCCCTGCTCATTCTGCTCTAGCTGCAGGCTTCCTTGATGATCTTGAACATGCCGGGCACCTCTGCCAAGACCTGGCCCAGAGCTCCTGCTGCATGCCACGTTCTTCCCCTGGGTAGTCATTCACCTCCCCACCCTCTCCCCCACTTCCTTTGTTTTCTCTTCTTATTAGAGACTCCCTTCTTACCCTGTCACTGTCTCTATCCCCTTTTCTTGCTGGTAAAAAAATGGTAAGTAGGCAACACCAACAGGCCCAGGCCAGGAGGTCAGGACCTGGCTGTGACCCTGCTCCTGGCTAAGAAGTTGGTGTGGCTCCAGAAAACCAAGTTATACATGGAAATGAGAAGCACGTCAGTGCTAGGATCATTAGTAATAATACCTAACAGAGGGCCAGGTGTGCCTCCCTGGTGGAGCGCTTGCCTAGCGCGCACAAGGCCCTGGGTTCTATCCTGTGCACCCCCAAAACAAAAACAAAAACATAACAAATATGGAGCTGGCTTTGGGCCCATTGTGGCTAAGCACTTTATGTATAATATCTCCTTTAATTCTCACAACAACCCTGGGACAGGGGGTGGGGGTGGTGTAAAATTTGTAAAACAGAAAGCACAGAAAGGTAAAGTAACTTTCCCAAGTTCACACAGGATGGAGCTCACATCTGAAGCAAAGACACGTGGTATATGACCTGTGCTCCTAGTCCCTGGGCTGTGCTACATCTCTAAATTAAGATCCATGGAATTTTGAGGAGCTTAGAAAGCTTGCTGGGACTGGCCTGGTATCCTGGAGTATTGGGGAACATAGGAAAAGTGAGGGCTAATTAATGTTTGACTGTCATATCCCTCTGTGGTACAATTTTAGCATTCAAAGCACTTTTGCATTTCTTACCTCACTTATGTCTTTTAAATGACTTTCCCCACCCATGGGATTGAATTTGCTCCCTGTTACCAGGGGAGCTTGTGGCAGAGCTAGAGCAGGGGTTAGGGAGAGAGAGGGAGGTACAGGCTAGGGAACTTCAAATCCTCTAGGAGTGTGAGTAGTGTTGGCTCCCCTCTCCCACATGCTAAGCCCCCAATGAATCCTTGCAAGATCACTATGAGGTACAAATCATCATTGTCCGCATTTCAGAAGTGAGCAAACTGAGGCTCAGGAGCTTGGGGAAGAAGTGCCTTGGTATCTCTCATCCATCCTACAGTGAATTTCAGGATGTATACTCAAGAGGATAAGAAGGGTATGCCATGATAGGGGTGTCTGGGGGCCAAGGGGCCCAGGACCTGCAGACAGGAGGAGGCTGGCAGAGGGGAACCAAGCTGAATCTTCCTCTCTGCTGCCTTGTTCCCCCATCAAGCATCCTGTGCAGCATCCCTGAGTCCTTTGTATGAGTTTTGCCTCCATATCCAAGTGCCCTGCCTTCCTGATATAAGAGCAGAGCTGGTGGGGACTGAGCAGATGCCACCCAGGGAGTGGGGTGTGATGAGGGAACAAACGCCTGGTCCCTTCTTGACCTTGGGTCTGCCCAGATCCCCAAAGAAAAAATACCACACAATAATACTGTGGAGAGCCAGGAAGATCAGCTGTACAGTCCCTTTGGAGGACCAAGAGCCAAGATGACAGGCTCCAAGGAATGAATTCCAAACCAGAGCCTGGTTCCCCCACTTGGTAACCCCATTCTTGACATTCCATCCCATAGGAGGACAGGCATAGCATATCTTCTGCCTGGGCCTTCCTGAGTCTCACCTATTTTCCCTTGTCAATCACTCGTGTCCAGACCCTGCCTGGGGGATGAAGGAGCTTTGAGCCCCCCCACCCCCACAGATGGGTGCCATTGGCAGCAGGCAGGCAGTGGCATACGGGGTAGACTCTGGTTGCCATAGCAACCTGCCAAAGTCTTGGGTGGAGGCACATGGCCTACAGGGTGTATGGGGGGAGGGGACTCATCTTCCTCTGTCCTGTCTCAGGCCTCTGGGCTGCATAGTCCATGCCTGGAAGCTCTGGTGTGGGAGGCATGGGAGTAGGTGAGTGTGACAAGGGAAGGGGAACATGTAGACACTCTGCAAATACATCCCAATGCCATAGCATCAAAGCACAAGAAGTCCCCTGTCAAAATGCAAAGAGTCACCCAGTAATCCACCTGCTGAAGACCCAGAATAGGTATCAGGAACTTGAATTCTAGACTCAGTTCTGCCCCTGGTAGCTGCATGGTCTTGAACAAACCCCTATCACTCTCTGGTCCTCAGTTTCTTCAACAGTAAATGTACAGGGCTTGTCTGGATTACCTGCGAGATCCCTTCAAGATCTGGATGACTATGCTAGAGAGAGAGGGGATGCAAGCACCTGGAAGATGCTCAGTTGGGAGTAGGCCAAGTTGTATCAAGGTTGAGACCCAAGATTAGAGTCAATCTTGGGTCCTTCTGCATGGGCCTGCTGGGGCATGGGTCCCAGGCTCCTGACCAAGATTGAAACTCTGAATAGGTCCCGTGGCCCTGATAGAATTAAAGTAGCCAAAGAGGGTGGGAGAAGTTATTATAATCCTTTGGACTCATAAGGTTGGAGGAGAAGGGACTGCTTGGGGGGCTTCTAATTGTACTTTCTAATTGTACTACCAAAGATATTTAGCCCACACGATGGCCAGCTTAGTCCGTGGGCAGAAGAACCCCTGCTTCTGTCTACCTGAGGCAACAGTCATTCCTACCTCCTGAAACCGGATTTCCTGGCAGGCTCTATGAGGCTGATCCTGGACAGAGGGGCTGCCCAGCCCAATAGTAGTTCCAGGAATCTCTGCAAACCCACCCCCTCCCCAACTCTGAACACAGTTTCTTCCAAAAAACTCCTGTTCCTTGGCTCAGACCAGTCTGGAATGCTATGTTGACAGTCTGGGACTGGTACCCATCATCACTCCGCTTCCTCAGCCCTCCTAGAGCCCCTCTCCTCCCTGCGCCCATAACCCCAGCTCAATCACTCTCCCTGCTATCTCTGTAGAGGCCCTGGTTACAAGGAGTTGAAATTTGCCTAAAGCCCACCTGGCTGGTGTAATGGCACCCAGCAGGCAAATTCAGGCCAGCGGCTCAGAACGCTGGTCATGCATTTTGGGCTTGAACACAGCCCAGGGGGCAGGGCCGACGACTTGTGTACCTCATTACCCCAGCGATGTGGGAAGCAGTAATTAAACCGGGCTCCACTTAGAGAGACAGAAAGGCACATACACATTCCCAGCATTTCTCAGTGACTTTTCAGCCTTGGCAAAACCATTCAAAAACATCCCTCGTGGCAGGGGAACACATCTCCTTAGAGGAGATCCTTGCCCCTGCCATTGTACACGAGGAACCCTGATGTCCACTAGTGCCTAGGCCCATTCTTACCCCAGGACAGGGAGGGCACGGCTGGTTTAATTTTTCCCCAATCAAGTGCTCTGAACATCTGTGTGATCTCTGAGGTGATGCTTTCAGCAGGGCCTCAAGCAGTGGGAATTGACTAAGTAGAGTCATCCACACTCTAGCAGGGCCTCTATGACCAGCTCAGTCTATGAGGTAGATGGTAAAGTCAAGAGTCAGCTCAAGTCCCAGAAGAATATCTCCTTCTAAGAAGCTACAGTGGAATTAGTTTTTACTGGCCACCTTGGCGACCCTAAATACTAACCATGGGGCTGGGCCCACTGACATGCATGCCCAAGCAATCTCTGCAGCACTAAGACCCTACAGCTCTAGGGCATGGTAACAGTTTTGGCAAAGTAGATTTGAGGAAAGGAGAATGAGAAGAAAAGAGGTCCCCAGCAGAGTGATACATATGCACATGGCTTGGCACACTCAAACACACATACATGTTTTGGTGCCAAGCCCAGGAAGGCTGGTCTAAGGTCTGTGTGGCTCCTGTACACCCCTCGCTTACCTCCCTCAGCTCCTTGGCCACCTCCTTGAGCTCCCGCAGGATGCCTTCAAGTTGCCCGATGACCATCTTCATGCGCTGTCGAATCCTCTCTCGCTCACCACCACTGCTGGGGTCGTCACTGGGCTGCCCGAGGTCCGGGGTGCCCCGAATGTTCATCCTTCACCACCTGGCCGCAGGCCTGCCCATACTCCCCCCAGTCGGGCACACACTGTGTCTTCCTCGAAGGAGCCCCCCTCAGTCGGGCAGAGCTCCACATCTTAACGGCCCCCCAGCCCACCCTGGTACTGGGCAGCCCTCACCCAGTCCCTGCTCCCTGCCACTCCGCCTGCTCTTCCTCTGGGTGGGAAATGAACACCCAGAGGGAGACAGAGTCTAACAGAGAGGGTCAAGGTGAGGGCACAAGAGGGCAAGGGGAGGGGCCTTGGGTCCCAGGAGTGGCCTCCAGGACTTGAGACGCCTGTGGGTATACAGAGCTGTTCTCTGCCTGAGCCTAGATACCAAGGCAGGGGGATGACTCTGCAGGGACTAAGGGTAAGGGATGCCCTTGGGATGGGGGAAGGCAGCAGCAATCCCCTCACAACTCCTAGGCAGTTGCAAAGGCAGAGGTCTCTGGATGCAACTGACACCTGCAGAGGGATGAGCGCCCGCCGGGGTCTTCCAGATGTGGAGGGGGTTCCAGATGTGGGCGGCTCTGGAAAGGGAGCTGGATTGGAGGAGGGCAGCCCCCTGCAGAGACAGCGAGCCTGGCGTCAGCCCTCCCAGGCTGCAGCACCAGCCAGCAATGCTGCTTCCTCCTTCCTCTCCCCTGTCTGCATCTTCTCGCTGGGGATTTATTTATTTTTTTCTTTGTGGGGAGGGGTGGTAGAAGCAAATGCTTTTCAGCACACCCCTTCTCTGGCATGGGGTGGGGGAGCCCCTGCTTTAGAGGCATAAGTCCTCAGCCTCCTTTAGGGCACCCTGGCCTGGGTTTCCCCAACCCCCACTCTCCCAGTCAAGCCTGACTCCGCTGGTACACCAGAGGGCCTCTCCCGTCCTCCCTCCTCCTCCCAGTGCCCCCAGGGTGCCCTCGTTCCCAGCGGACCCTCCCTCCCCTAGCGCCGCCTTCCCTCAGAAGCCCAGCTCCAGCACTCACCAAGGGTGGGGGCACCGGCCTTCCCTCCAAGCAGCGTCGGGGGCCAAGCCCCAAGACGAGGTTGGGGGGCCCCCAAGGCTCCCTAGGGCGGACTTCTCTCTCTGGACCCTTCGGCCCTTGGCCTCAGGGAGGTTCTCCGAGCCGCGGCCGGAGACATCTGGGCGGTGGGAGGGGGCGGGGCCTCGGCGCTCCAGGAAAGGGGGCCGGCAAAATCCCCCACAGCACCCGCCAGGCTCCGGGTCCGGAAAGAGCGAGGGTCCGGCGGGCTCGGGGCTCCAGGCCACAGGTGACTCGGGCGCAAGGCGGCCGAGACGACGCCGGGCCGGTCCGAGCGCGCGAGCCAAAGTCGGAGGGCTGGGAGGGCGCCGGGATCCCCTCAGCCCACGCCCGGCATTCCCCGGGCTCCGCACTGTCCGGGATTCACTCTGTCCAGTCCAGATGGGCCGGGGCCGGACTCCGCGGTGGTCTGCCCTGCCCTTAGTGAGTGGCACTACCAGGCGCCCAGGACGCGCTCAGCCTGGACACACAATGTCCGCGCTCCGGCACCCGCGTCGCCCTGGGCGGCCGCGAGGATCCGATCAGCCCAGCCCCGCGGTCTTCCCGGAGCGCGAACGCTCCCAGGGCTCAGGCCACGATCCGAAAGGTCCGGAATCCGCCGGGTCCCCGGGAAAGGGCGGCGTCTGCCGCTGGGACCCCGTCTTCCCTCGGCGCGGCAGAGAGCGCGCGAGGCTGGGGGCCTGGCCCGGCTGGGTTCGGCGGCCCGGGCGCGGGCTGGAGCGGCGCCCGGCGGAGAAGAGAGGAGGCAAGAGGCGGCGAGAGGAGGCGAGGGGAGGAGGCGAGGCGAGGGGATGAGGGGAGGGGCGCCCGGAGGGCCGGGCCGGACCAGGGCGCAAGGGGCTCGCAGCCTCCGCTGGGCTCCCGCTGCCTCCTGCCCGCTCCCTCTCGGCTTCCTGCCTCGCAGTCCCGGGGCGCCGGGTCGCTGCAGGTGGGACAAACAGGCGCCGGGTTGGGGCTGGGCCTCTCTTCACTGCCTCGCTCTGCCCTGCCCCACCGGGCTCCCAGGGCCTGGGCCCGCTCCCGAGCGCCGCGGCGCCGCGCCCGGCCGCCCCCGGCCCGCCCCGCTGCCCCCCGCCGGACTGGCCGCCCGGGCGGGCGCTGGCTCCCTCAGAGGCCGCCGGGCTCGCTCGGCTCCGCTCGCCTCGGCGCTGACAGGGAAGGGGCCGGCCCGGCGCGCCGGGAGGGAGCTTTTAAAGCGACACACACGCCTCCCAGCGCACAGCGCACAGAGCGCGAGCCGGGGGGTCTCGTCACCCCAGAGAGGCGAAAGGGGCCAGAGGCGGGCTAGCCTGGCCGGACGCTCACCGACCTGGGGCGCTGAGGGGCGGGGACTAGGGACTTAGTTCCTTCCCACCTTTCAAGACACTTCATCAGCCTCCTTCCCTCTTTGCGGTGTACCCCAAGCTTCGCTTTGGACTGTTTTCTGCATCCAGACCCCAATTACCTCCGTCATACCTCAAACCACCCCAGACCTTAGCTTAAATTATACTAACTCAGAAAATAGAATACAGCGAACTTTTACTGAGCACCTACTGTGTGCCACTGCTCTGGGGTGTGTGGGGCGGGTTTGGAGACAACCGCCAGTATCAGGTATTTCCTTGGGCTCTTCACCCATTTCCTCAACATTTATTCATTACCTTCTATGTACTGGGTCCCATTCTAGGTTCTGAAATCACCGGAGAGAAAAAGTAGCACTTAGGAAGATCACAGAGTACAACAACACTCCTGAGCAAAATGAGGGGTGGTACATGCAGGACAGAGGCAAGTTCTAGAAAGTTCTAGAAGCAATGGTAACATCGGTGGGGAGGGTAGAAGGAGTATAGGCCAGGTCTGGCACGTTCTCTCAGGAAGGCAACCTTTGTGCTGCATCTCAAAGGAGAAGTAGGAGTTACCCAAGTGACTGTCAGTGTGGAGGAGGTGGGGATGGCATTCCAAGCAGGGAGGAGGGTGGGAGCAAGGGCTCCAAAGCAGAAGCCAGGGAGGGGGAGTTTAAGTCAAAGGTGGCCTTTTAGTTCCTGTTTTGACTGCTCTGTGGGAAGTGGATTAGAGGAACACCAGATCTGGAGAGGCTAGGAGGGCCATGGTTAGGAGCTTGGATTTTATCCTGGGGCAGAGGGGACCGAGGATGCTGGGCTGGAAGCTAATCCCCCTTGCCTTCCTAGGAGATCCCTCTTGGTCTCCCTGGATGGTGGATTGGAAGAATAGACCACAGGCTAGCAGATTCAGAAGCTGTTTAAATGCCTTAGTTGAGGGAGGCAGGCCAGAGTGGCAACAGGGATAGAGAAGGAGGCCGCTTGGAGAAATCTTTTAGAGCATGGAGGCACTTAGAGTCTCACTGAACTTTGAGAAATGTGGTGGGTGCAGAATGCCTCCAGCTTCTGATTTGTGAGACTGGATAGGTGGTGGTGCCACCATCTGAGTCAGAGAACGGAGGGGAATCCCAGGTCTGGGGTGAAGAGGAGGAGTTTGGAACAGGTGGAATGATACTGAAGACTGTCTATAGATCCAAGCTCATAGCAGGGGCTGGGCTCCAGAGTAAATAGTGTTTTGTTTGGGACTCCTCATTAGAGGGGTGAGATTAAGCAGGCTGATTGTGTAACAAAAGCAGTAGGTCCAGCTGGGAGAGGTGTCCATGAGCAAGATGGAGAAGGAGCCATCAGGAGGCAGAGGAACCAAGAGGGTGGAGAGTCCTATGGGCCTAGGAGGAGGGGTTTGGAGGAAGTAGGACTCAGTGCTGTCCAAGACTGCAGAGGACATGAGAGAAGGAATGGAAAGTGTTCACTGTCCTTGGAGGCTACTGGTGACGAGTCAGGGGCAATTTGGTGTGTGTGTGTGGGGGTTGGTGAGAGGAGCTAAATTGTTGGGCACTAAGGACTGAATGGCTGGTGGGGAACAGAAGTTGGTGAGTGCAGGTGACATTCTCAGAAGTTCAGGTGACAGGGAAGTAGTGCTCCTGAGCTGGAAACAAATGAGGACTTGGGGGATGGGACTGGAGGTGGCTTGAGGCTGGCCCATAGCAGGCTTGGATTTTAGGACAGTGATGATGTGGGTACTAAGGGTTTCATTTGGCCTTTGAGTTCTCTCAGACGTGTATTTCCGGGGGTCTTGTGCAGGCACTGGGTAACTCCTACATCTTTGAGGGTCAGTGAAGAAGGACCAGAGTTGTATAGATGGAAATCCAGCTGCCAGGGTGGGGGTAGATATTCTCCTGAGGAAGTAGATTCACAGGGCCCATCAGTCACTTTGTTTTAAATTGTGGTAAAATACACATAGCATAAAATTTACCACTTTAACTATTTTTGAGAGCACAGTTCAGTGGCATTAAGTACTGATGTGGGTGGCACTGGAAAGGGGGCTGGATGAGAGGAGTGGAATCATTCCCACTAATCACTTTTGTGGAAGCTGTAATGCTAAGGGATAACCAACATCAAAAATGGACTAAGCTTGAAAAAAATAAAATAAGTTGCTAGTCCTAGGTCTGGAACTCTCGTCCTCATCCAGAGTGGGGGATGTGTGTCTGAACTGTGAGTGTTAGGAGTCAGTGAGCTTGTTTTAAGAGTAATACCTAATTATTCATCAATGAGAGCTTCAGTCTCATTAATGGAAGAGCGGTTCTTAGAAAAAAGGAGATGATATTTCTTCTATCATCTGTGTGGCTCAAACTATGCCTACCACTTCATTTCACAGGCTGTGTGCACAGGAGGGCAGCCAGGATGGAAAGAGAACTGGTATACAGTACCCTGAAGAATGGTTGGACTGGTCAGGGCAGACTGAAGACTCTCAGAGAAGTCTCTGATTTAGATCTCCAAAGGGCTGCCATAGGCAAGAGGGAATAGGCAGGATCTGAGGGTTCTCAGGCTTGCCTTCCTGAGAGCCAGCCCCATCCCTGCCTATCAGCTCTACTCCCTTGTGAGGCTGTAAACTCCCTTTATGATGTCTGCCCCTCTCACATGGACCAGTAGAGTGGAGTGTGACAGCCAGTGATTCTTACCTCTCTAGCCTGTTTTCCACCATTCTACTTCTGGCATCCTTATCCTTTAGGAAATTCCTCCCTGTATCATAATGCTGGTGGATTGTCAGTTCAAGTACCCACTACTTCCACCCATCCCTATCCCACCATGACCAGGTAGTCAGGTAATCCGGAATGTACCAATCACAGAACCCCATCCTCTAGCAACAGTGATTGGTCTAAGGGATGAGCACAGAATCCAAGGAAGACCAATCAGACTCTTTCCCTGGGATTGGTATGTAAATAAATACCTCCTGGAGAGCTGTCCAGCACTAAATTAAACAGCTCTTCCTAAGGTGTTGTGCACAGGGCTTAGTATACATTCAATAAATATCAGCTGCTGGTATTATCCGTACTGGGGTTTGGGATAATTTTCTGAACACAAAGTTTGGGATGAGTGGCTAGCACCATAGGCAGACTTTTTATAAATCCCCCAAAACAGGGGTTGCAGAGGGTGAAATCTGAGTCACCCAGGAAAGGCCACTTCAGAACAACAGTATCCCATATGTGGCTGGACATAGGCAGGGCTCCCATTGAGGAAGCCATGTCTGAGGACATTTCTGCCATCTTTCTGTCCACCCTCATCCCTGC